AACCCAAAACCCTAAACGGTTTAGGGTTTCGGCGGTTTAGGGTTTAAAGTTTAGGGTTTAGGGTTTAGGCTAAACCCTAAACCGTTTCTAAGCCCTGCCTAAACTATTAACTTGAAAGTCTAAACCCTAAAGCCTTAAAACCTAACCCTTAAACCCTAAACCCTAAAGCCTGAACCCTGCACCCTAAGTCAAAACTCCACCACCAAGACCTGGTTAAGAGGGGGGGAGGCTTGGGCTCTGGCCTCGGCTTGCAAAGTTGCTGGCACATCCCCTGCAAATATGTTACAACGCCAGTCCCAGTAAAACTATGTGCACGAAAATGCGAAGCGAGCAAAAGGTCAACCTGCTGCATTCCCCTCTCCACTCGCAGAGTGAAGCTCACTTGGTGCTTCCCTTCAGGGCGGCGGCCCTCTTGGACAGAGCCGGTTCAGCAAGGATCTTCTTTTTCTCCAAGATGTTCTGGCACCTGCTGACCAGCCCAAGCCGGGTTTCACCTGGTTGCAAGGTCCGAGTCAATGCTTGAGCCAAGGTCATGCTTCCATTCATGTACCGGACGGTTGCCATAGTGGCTTTGCCAGACTGGTTGTCCTGAGCCACTGCACCGTTGACTGCTTGGAAGTCCCTGACGTCAACCAAGGTAGCCGCAATCAGAGAACTGGTAACTTCAGTCATCCAATCGCTCACTGGCACCAGCTTCAAGTCACTCAAGAAGGAAGCACTTTCTGAAAGAATGCGATCGGCCCGAGTACCTGAATGAACGAGCTTTTGCATATTCGAATCGTTTGCTAAGTCCGAGATGGCCTGCTTGTCCAAAGGGTCTGACTGGAAGATGGCCACAGCATCCTGCGCGGTCATCAGGTCTGTGTAGAAGCCCTTGACACTCGAGACGAGGCTTTCGATGTCGTTGGCCATAACCGCCACGATGTCGCCGCACGATTCCCGCATGGTCTTTTGAAGGGCCTTGTAGAAAGCACTGACACCATCCATGTTGCCTGTGAGGGCGACAGCCTGGACAAGCATCTCGTCGAAATGCTTGGAGGCCGACGCGAGCTTGCCGAAAACGAACTGACAGCCAAGCAGCCGAGATGTTTTGGTGTCCCACTGGATGGGGGACTCCTTCTTGGCCTGCATGGTCGCGAGCAGCATGTCCTTCCAGAGCTTTGCGCCCTTACATTCCTTCAGTTTGTTCACACAAACCATGACATACTTCGCAACTCGCAAAAGAGCACCGACTATGCAAAGGAAGGCAGCGTGCACCTGCACATTTGTTTGGCCATCCGGGCCATCCAGTTTGAGTGCAACCTTGCTCCCACCGAAGTACTTGAAATAGGAAGAAAAGGCGAAGAACCAGTCGAGGTCCTGCTTGGTCTCTGAAGAGTCCTCGGCATGGATCTCCAAGACTCCAAGAACCTCCTCTCGAAGTGTGCCCTGGACCATGTCGTCTGTGACTTCAGGCTCGAGCAGCTTGCCTGCAAAGCTGGCGAACGTGGAGCTGACCTGAGCGAGCCACCTCTCGAGGCACAGCTGCATAGCCCCAGCAAGATTGTCCAAGGCCTTGTCCAAGAAGGGAACTGTCGATGCTAGCTGCTTCCTGGCCTCCTTGTCGTTTAGCTTGCCGAAGAGCTTGGCAACCTGGGGCTCGGAGATGAGGTCCTCGTTGACATCCTCAGTGAGAACTTTCGTGATGACCTGGAAAGCATCCTTCAACACACTCATGTATGCCTTGACGACTGAGATCTCCTGCTCCAAGCTTTCTGCCAAAGACTTGCCGAGAAGCTTGGCAAGGGGAACCTTTGCCAGTGGATGAAAGCCACCCATTTGACCGATCATCTCGAACAACACCGGGCCATCGGCTCCCAATGAACCCTTCGCCCAAATTTGCATGTGGCGCAGAAGGGGTTCGCCAAACTGCTTTGCATACTTTGCACGAACAACGGACATCAAAGCTCCATACAGCTCGTCGACTTTGGCACTGACTAGCTTGACAGCATCCTGCGAACTTGCCAGGAGTTCCTCGCTGGCCTTCTCCCTGAAGCCCAAAAACTTGGCCGTCATCTCCACGAACTTCGCTTGCCCGGGGATGACAATATCCCACTCGCCACCATCCCTCTGCTTCAGGAGGACCTCAGCATCAAAGTTTCTCATGCCTTGGGCAAGATTGACGGCTGAGTCGATGTCAAGCGCAAGCAGGAGGTCAGAGCGATGCTGCTGCACGAGCTGCGAAACCCGAGAGCAAATCTCAACCCCCACAGGGCTCATTGCCACGGCAGTGTACAAGGGACCACTTCTGGCTTTCGTGAGGCTAGTTCTGGCATTCTCCAGCTGCTCGCAGGCGGCTGAATCAAGACCATGTGGCTGCAAGGTCGCTGCCACCAGGTTTGCTACCTTGTTGATGTCCTCCACGATGAGGCACTTGGCTTCCGAAAGCTGGCTCTGCAAGGACGAAGCCTTCCAGATGGTCAGGAAATCCGAAATGTCTTTGATAGTGGCGTTGACGATGTTCTTCTTCTCCATTTGCGCCAGCTCCGGTTCTTTCGCCTTCGGCACCACGGACGTCATGAAGAGCTGTGTCAAGCAAGCTCCAAGACACGCGCACTGAAAGTCGCGAACTTCAGCAGGAACCTCCTTGCCTGCAGAGTCGGATGCGGGCATGAGCGAACTGACACCATCGGGAAATTCCGTCTTGAACTTCGTATCCAGAAACTTGCACACTTGCTCAAAGTGCCGCAACTGCATGTGCTCTTCAGCTGCCCGACGACAGATGACGCTCGTGATGTTCTTAGGCAGCTGGACACCCACCGCCTCCAAAGCACGAGCCCGCTGCGATAAGGTCGCTGGGCTTGCCTCCAAGAAAACAAATCAAGAAACGACAACTAAACGAAAAGCAAGCTTAGAAAAAAATGAGATGCCTGGCCTCGGTGTCCTGCAGGGCTTCAAGGAAGTCAGCAGACAGCTCCATATTTCGAAATTCGGTCTTCAAGTCGTCCCAGACTTTGGCAGCTCGTGAACCAGGGCCGTGGGCTCGAATGGATTCCATGTAGAGGCCTGTCAACTCCTCAGTCAATCTGGACTGCACCTTCTCCTTCATGGATACGGCCCTGGTGAACGGAAAGCGTGTCACTAGTGGGTCCTGAAGGGAGACACGAAGTTGCTGAGCTTGAAGTACCATGGCCTCGCTCTTCTCCAGCTCACGGCTCTCGTTGCACTTCTTCCTACCAATCTTTGGGAGCCCAAGCTGTGCAAAGCCCAGCCCTGCTGGCTCCTCTGGGTTGACTCTGGGGGCACCCTCGTTGTGAGTGCACTCGTTGCGGGATGACCGGGCTGTCCTGGCTCGCTTGGACCTGGCCGGTCTATCTTCGTCGTCCGACTCCTTGGCTGGCTTCGAGTTGCCGGTGCCTGACATGTTGTTTGGAATTTACAAACCCATCAACTTTTGTTCTCCTATTCCCAGCCGTTTCTCTCTCTCTCTCTCTCTCTCCCTCCCTCTCTCTCTCTCTCTCTCTCTCTCTCTCTCTCTCTCTCTCTCTCTCTCTCTCTCTCTCCCTAAACCCTAAACCCTAAACCCTAAACCCTAAACCGTAAACCCTAAGCCCTAAACCCTAAACCCTAAACCCTAAACCCTAAACCCTAAACCCTAAACCCTAAACCCTAAACCCTAAACCCTAGACCCTAGACCCTAAACCCTAAACCCTAAACCCTAACCCTAACCGAAACCCTAAACCCTAAACCGCGTAAACCCTATGCCTATAGCCTCAACCCTAAACCCTAAAGTCTAAACCCTAAACTCTAGGGGTTTGGTTTAGCCGCAGTCCGATCCGCAGTGCCTCCGATGTTGTTGTCACCCCACAAGATCGCTGCCAAGTCGTCGTCGCTGTCAGCTCCGCCCTTCGCCTTGGACTTGCTTAAGACGATGTCCTGACCGTCAGATGCTGCAGCTGAAGAGGCCACATTGACGGACTTCTCGAGAGAAGAAAAAGCCAGGCATGGATCAGGGCCATCGGCGTCCTCGCTGTCAGCCACAGACACACTTTGGCGAGCCTTCTTTGACGAGTTGGTCGAAACCTCGATGCATCCGATGGCCCATTCCTTCAGCACAGCTCCTCGGACTTGCTTCCCCATGTGAGGCACACTCTGCAACTTCTTTGGCACAGGTTTCCCATGATCCTTGAGAAGCGCCACGGGCCACAAATACCCGAGTATCTGCTTCGTCTCCAAGCCTGACTCGGACACAGCCGCCACGGACGTGGCACGTTTCCGAGCTCGTCGCTGACCTTGTCGTCTGGCTGACTCCCACGGAAGCAGGCCACTCATGTACTCGGCATGGTTGTCATCGTCCTCGAGGAGGGAGTACCGTTCTTCGCTGGAAAGCTTCGAGTAGGCGTCAGAATTGGACATGAAACTGAAGCACGGCTTGCATTGGGCAGCACCTGGAACTCGGCGCTTCAGCAAGTCTCCCTCGGCTGGACCCTGAACGATGGGGTTTGGGGTGGTCAAGAAAGACCGCCTGCAAGTTTTGCAGGTCGGGGGCCCCGTCTTGCCAGATGCCGATGCCATGCGAGTCAGGTCTGGGAGTGGGAGAGGGCAAGAAAGCTGAAACGTTTGACCCTGCAAGTTCTGCAAGACATTCCTGTGTTCCGACAACAAGCTGTCAGGGCACGACTAGCTCAAATGCAAGCAATCTGACTTCAGACCATTGTGTGAAGCTCAAAAAAAAAGCTTGATGCTCTCTGCTGTTCAGGCTTTTGCTTAAGGTTTTCGGCTTGTGGAGCACCAGATTCTGCACGAAAAGTTAACTCTTGGGGGGCCCCGGTTAGCGGTTAACTTCCAGGCCGAAATTAAGGGTTAACTGTGCTCCCCCCCTAGGTTTTGAGCGGTTAACCCTTAATTCTGGCCCCCTGGTTAACTCCTAACTGGGCCCCCCCTAAGGGTTAACTGGTCGATGCAACTCGTGGTCACACTGGTCACACCGATGCCCTTTTCGACTCGTTCTGCAAACAAATTCAGGCGCGAACCTTCATGCCAATGGACCTTCTCAACTCCAGACTTAGGCGGGCATGGCTGTCAGGCGACTCCTTGTGAGCCACACGGAGCCATTGCAAAAGTAAGTCGGAGTGATGCGTGTTGCTGATCCAGCACTCACATTTTTTGTGTTTCCTGCACACAGCTCTGAGTGACTCTTGCCCTGTTGCATGTTTCACTAGCAGATTGGCAGCACCTAACTCCTCCACCACACCTCGAAACACTCGGCGAACCGTGCAGAAAGTGGTACCATGACCACCGTACTTGACTTCAACCCGGCTGCCATCTTCCTCGGTCGACAGCAACTGCCAGTCATGCACCACGCCAGAGCTGCCAGCTGCTGCCGCTCTGCTCACTGGTTCAGACGGCCCTGGTCGTCCAACATCTGCTGAAGCTGCTGAACCAGATGCCGGAGCTGATGAAGTTCGAGTGGAGCAAGCGGCACCGTGTTCCTGTTCTTCAACGTCACAGTCAACGTGGCACTCCTCAAGAATGTCACTGTCTGAGTCTGCAGACGCGCGGGTCGACATCCAAGTTTGCTCAGGGACCTCTATGGCGCTGCAGACCTCCACAGCCTTCTTGAGTTCTGCAATTTGTTTTGGCCCGAGAATAGCCTGCAGCTGTGGGTCATCCAGGATGTCCTGTCAAATGACTCCAACAGCTAAAAGAAACAAACCTTTGTTACAGCCCTAGACCCTTGGCCCTGGACCCATGAACATTGCTAACGAGAATCTGTCTCGTTGGCAACAGTTTCTTGGACATCACCTTCTTCACCAGGCGGCTGCATAGAGGTCCGTCTTGTCCTCCTCCTCTTTGTGGGCGGGAGATCTGGGCCGGCACCATCGTCCAGCAAGGACAGAAAATCCACACCGTCGCCGGCGCGTGCATCGTCATACTCTTCGGGCTGTCCAGGCTCCATGAGTGGCTCCCCTGCAACCTCTGAGTCATCCTGCCCTGCATCGCCATCCACAGTCACCACGGCTTGCTGGAAGCTAGTGTCCAACCCTGTCACTCGAACCTGCTTTGGGCTGATGTCTTGGAACAGCAACTTGTTGATTACCACTGTGCTGGGAGACATGTTCTCGTCGTCGAACAGACTGAGCAAATGAAAGGCGAATGCGTCTGAGAGAAGCGTCTGCAAACGACCTACCCGCCTTTCACCAGCAGGGACAGGCAAGTAGTCCTTCTGGCAATCCACATACTTCTCAAAAGCCAGGTCGAGCAGCATATTGTCAAACCTCCCTGGCCCAGCCCCAAACTGAAAGGGCTCGGAAATTTCAGCGAGAACGAAAACCTGATCTGCCTTCAATGCTCCTGCTCTGGAAGAGACAGCAGTGAGCCAAGCATATTGCCGGACCACATGTCGTCTAGGCCTGGCAGAAGAGAACACTTCGAAAGCCAGCAGCACATCTGCTTGCACGGTAGCTGTCGGAGAAGCATAGAGCCCGACGATCTCCAGGAAAGCCGCCAACAAGTTCCTGTGCAACTGAATGCCTGGCAGACGAGGCTGCTCGTGCAGTAAAGTTATAGGCATTAGGGCTTGGCCTGTTTAGGGTTTAGGGTCTTGGGGTGATCGAAGCTAGCAGCTACCTGGTCTCGGGGTCTGAGTATCATCACAAAGTCCAATCAGACAGGAAACGTTCCACTTCTCCAGTGTTGCGACACTGGCAACCGCAGAAGCCCTCGTACACGACCTTCTTGGGAAATCGGTCGGCGTCCGGCGGGCGAGCCATTCTTTCCATCTCCCGATCGAAATGAAGCTCGGCCTGTTTGGCAGTGATGCCCTTCGCCCGCTGCGCTCGTGCTATGCTTTCCAGATCTCTTCCGAGACAGGATAGTCATGCTTGGCTAACTGAAATTTGCTTCTCGCAGGCTCGCCACCCGAATACGGTGAGACCAATGCTTTCAGATCTCTTGTTTCGAGGAGCCGTTGCAAAGGCATCGCGTTCAGAAGCTTCGGCGCAAAGGGCTGCCCGTGCAGGGCACGAACATCTTGCGAGTCAGAAATGGCAGGCTGGGCAATGACTTGGTGCTGTGCTCTTTGCAATTTGGCATCTTGTTTGGTGGCCTGGGCCATCGCCTCATAGATTTGCTTCTGCTCAGCTGGCAGCTCTCTCCAAGCATCGCGAACCTGATCCCACACTGCTCTCGTCACCGGGTTCACAGCCCCACCGAACTGCTGTTGTCGCAGCCACTCAGCACGATACAGTTCCAAGGCCGACTTGCCCTTGGCTCTTCGGCGGGTCTTGTCCTTCACTGTCAAGTCCCCCGCTGGTACCTGGATGTCTGCAACCTTTTCTTTAGCGGAGGCAGGCCACGTGTGCTGTCGTGCTTGACGAGCTATGAGGTAAGAATCCGAGTTGATGAACTTAGCCGCTATAGTGCTGAATCCGCTCTCGGCATTCTGCCGGTTAGCGGCATGCTTGACCTCCACATCAGCAACACTCAGCTGCAAAGTGGATGCATAGAAATGCATGATTCTTTTCCAATGCTTGCTGAGCAGGTCCTCTGCAGTCACTTCTCGGGCCTTCAAGGCTCGTGCCAGGCCTGGAGTTACACAACAGGCACGCTTTCTTCTCCACGACGCCAGAAATGAAGACAATACCTCGGGGCAAGCTTGCTCATCACCAACGACAGCCACTAGAAAAGCATCTCCGTGCAGATACTCAAAGTGACGACGATATTGCCAAGCCGATGCATGGAGCAACACTCTCCTGATTTCACGAACCAGATGTGGCTCGCAAAGGCAGAAGCGAGCAAAGGTGTCATACCCCCAGGTCGACCACAACAATCGCATTCGCCCAGCTCCAGTTTCTGAGGACAGCAGCAGGCTGTAGTGTTGCAACATGCTCGTCAACACACTGCTGCGGGGGTCCAGCAGGCAATACAACGGCGGTCGCTTGCCTGGACTCAAGCTCTGGCCCAAACATTTCAGCCAGTACCATGTAAGCACACGGTTTGGCTCTATTGCAACCGTCAACAGGCTCAGGGCCCATTTCTCGTGCCTGTTCTGCAAGAACGACATGGATGTTTGAAGACGGCGGCCATTGACAACATGGAAGGATAGGGTTTCAACTAGCCGAGGGTCAACATTGTCTACATCCTCGTCATACTCTTTGAAGACCATTTCGCCAAATGCATCTTGAAAGACATGCTCCAACCAATTGTGCACCACAGCCCCCGCCAGACAAAAGTCTAGAGGGGAGAAAAGCTTTGTCCATTTGCTGGGAGTCGGTACGGATGGTAGTGCTGCAAGAAAGAGGTCGAGTAGTGCGTCCGAGCATTTTCTCACAGCAGTGGCCCTGTCAGCACAATGCCTTTGGGCAAGAGGCAGGGATTCGCTGGAGCAGATATGGCAAGGCTCACCTGACACATCATCGCCGTTCCACATGTCTAAGAAAGCTCTGGCCTTACGATCAAAAGCAGACTCGCTATCGTCGTCAGCCGGCTCCGGCACATAATTTTCGACTTTCGAACTATGCCGGTCAAGCTTCTTCCACATGCGAAGGTAGTCGATGAGCTCACAAATTGCTGCATGTGGCTGCACGTGCTCCGAAGGGTTTGACGCCATGACATCTGTGCGAAATCGCAAAGTTCGATCAACCCAAACTTGCACTGCTTGCCGAATGCGCATCCAGTACCCCAGGTTGCGAACAAACACGGTCATTCCGTAGATTCTGTTCAACAACGTGGGGCTGATGATCGCCAGAAGTGAAGCATTGTTGAGCTGGACAGCATGGTTCATGCACCTGCAGTGTGTGAACAACAGCGGATGCCCACCCCGTCCTGCCACATTGCTTTTCGCCTGCTGAACCAAGTGAGCCAGCAGTCGCATGTTGCTGCTTGCGCCATCTGTCTCTGCCAAGTCCATGTTCTCGTGAGCATGTTGCCTTAAGAGGCCCACCAGCCCATTGATGCATTTGTATGCTGGGTGATGGAACAAACTGTAGTATTGATGCTCTGCTCCAGTCGCTAACAGGCTCACCGGTGGCAAAACCAAACGAATGACTACAGAGGACCCGTCCTCCCAGGCAAGCACCAGCCGTACACGAAGGACTAAGACCTGCCAGCTGCTCCGCACTCGCTGCGAGGATTTGTCTGCATTCATTGTACACAACAATTGCGTTTCGTCCCATTTGAAATGCTTCAAACACAACGATGGCGGCTTCTCGCTGCACCAAGACACGAGCTTCGCTACGAACAATGCTTGATTGTTCATGAACGCTGAGCTCGTCATGACTTGCATGTGTTTTACTGTGGACCGTGCAACATCCAGATGCTGAGCCAATGCACTGTTGCGACATATCCGGCCATATGAAGCTTCCAAGAAAGAATGCCACGCCAGCTTTCGTTTGTAGCGATTGCCCCTTTGACTAGGCCTCATCACCTGCAGGGCAATACCAACGGCCTTGCTGGAGCGATCAATGCGAAGCTGAAGGACACGAGACTCGTGAATGAAATGGCTGTCCCTCAACAGCTCAGCCACCGATTCCGAAAAATTTTCCACTCGTCTGGCAAATTTGATGGAACCTTACAGTTTGCAAGGACGGTGACCTTTGGGCTGCAGGGCTTACTTAGACTTTGACTGCTCAGGGCGATGGGGCCTTTGAGAGTACATGATTTCAGGGTTCTCCCCGCCAACAAACCCTAAACCCTGAGTGATTGCAGAAGAAACAGTAATTCAAAAAAGGTACGCATGTGACAGGCAAGCAGTGCTCGTTCAGCATACAGACCATGTCTGCCCTTGCCCACTCGCCCCTTCAAAGAAGGAAAAACTGCACGACGTTGAAAGTCACCCTGGCTGGTGGTTCGCGGGAAATTCTGCACTGCAACTAATTTGTCGGACTCCTGTTGCTGCAAAGCCGTCTCGTCGCTCACTGCAACCTCTGTGTCGCTCTCCAGCAAAGACAGAAAATCCATCACGCAATTGAGAGAGGTTTCTCGAATTCTGAGAAAGGATATGTCGAGCATATAGACTCACAACCCTAAATCCTAAACCCTAAACCTGGAAAGTTGCTCAAGGATGTACGGCTAGGTTGTTGCTGCTGCAATCTACAATTGAAGGACCTGAAACCCTTCCCCATGTCTCGAGCAGCATCGACGGAGACCTGCACCTTCGCAGCATGAGGGCCTCCATTGGTCCAACGGACCCTGAAGCAGAGAAGTTGGCCGAGACTACTAGGGGTTAATCGGGCAAAAGTTAAGGGTTAAGTGGGCCAAGGCTTAAGGGTTAACTGGGCAAGGACTAAGAGTTAAGTGGGTCAAGACTTAGGGGTTAAGGAAAGCCGGACTAGACCAACAGGAATCCTGTAAAGACACCTATGCCAAACGTGCTAGACAAGACATCCAAATTATTGGTCTGTCGCGATTTGTTTTGCCGTCAGATACATGCAAAGTCCCAGGGGGGTTGCAATGAAGTTGCTGAAAGCCAAAGACAAGAAGGAGTTCACGAACATCATCTTGAGCTCGCGGAGATCTAAAGCGTACAGACAAACAGGGATCACCACTGTTAATCTGCCTGGGGTGCTTCGTGCTGCCGAGTCCTTTTGTCGACGTGGTCAGTTTCAATCTTTTGATGCGTTGGAAGATGCCATTGCGAACTGCATGACGAAATTCTGCGAGGGTACCAAAGATGAACACTTCTCTGCCAGGCAGGCGGCTTTGGACCTTTGCAACAAGCGTGGCGTTTGTGGTGGCTTGACCAAACAGCGGAGACCATCGCACGTGCGACTCGGGCCGGGTGGCAAGATTGGGTTCTATCACGCTCACAGTGCGGACGGCTATACGAAGATGAAAATACCCCTGCGAGCACCTTTGCTTCGACAAACTGCGTACTGTGAGTACGGGAAGTTGGTTAAGCGAGTAAACTTCCCGAAGCTGAAGAAGTTTCATGCGTATGTGCCCGCGTCAGAAAGGCCTTAAAGCCTTGAGGTTCGATGTTGGAGTTTGTGTGCAAAGTATACAGTAGCCCTTTGAGAGCAAGGGACCAGGGTGCGGTCAAGCACCAGACACTCTTGTTAGTTCCTTGTGTTTCCCCCTGTTGTCTGTTCCTTTCTAGCTGAATGGGTAGACCAAAAGAACATGCGCAAGTGGACAGGGGAACCGTCTTCGTCCTTGTATTTACCTTCTTTTTTCTCCTTGAAAGAAGGAACAGAAAAGTTGGAACGGAGGGAGGGATTAAAGAACGCAAAGGAAGGGAACAGAGGAACTCAGAACAAACAAGTACTTGCTTCTCTCTCTTCTCGTCCATGTGCTTCGCTCATCTAGTGCTATGCATTCTCTCTTCGGCAAGAAAAACAAGAAGAGACAAAAGCTAGAAGGGAGAGAGCAGAGGGAAGAGGGAGGATGAATGTAGTGAAATTGGTTTGTGTTCTTAAATCTTCATTCTGCAAGAAGAGAACCACAGAAGAGAAAGAAGAGCGGATTAGAGGATGAATGCAGTGAGACTGGGTGTGGGCACTTATCTTTGTCATCTGTTATTCCCTCCTCGTGTTTTCTTGTGCTTTCTGCTCAGAAAAGTTGGGGAGGGATGAAGGCAAAATTGAGGAATACGGGAACTCAACCGCGCTCTAGTGGAAAACGAGCCCAGGGAACTCAGGCCTGCACTAGGTCACTAGGGCTCGAGACCCCCTTCGCAACGAACAGCTGCCCGCTTTCTTTCTTTCTTTCGAGGGGTTTGCGGGAGACCCCCACGCGCACGCGCGCAGCCCCAAATCTGACTTCGCGAGACTGTTTGCAATTCTCTCCTCCATAAGAAAAGCAAAGAGCAGAGAAAAAGCGAGAAGAGATGAGAGCGAGGACGAAGGTAACGAGATGATCTTGGGTTCTTGGACATTCATCTTGCTTTCCGGCAAGAACAGAGCCCGAGAAGAGATAAGAGAGCAAGATAAGAGAGCAGAGGAGAGGATGGATGAAGGCAGTGAGAATGAATCAGGGTGCCTCCCCCTTGCTTTTTTTCTGGTTTATTTTCTTCCTCATTTCTTCTCCAACAGGCAAGAAAGGGAAGAGAGGAGAGATGAGGAGAGTGTGTAAATAGAAGAGTGACATATTTTCATGTTTACCTCTTCCTTGTTCTTCTCCTGTTATCCGACTCCTTCTTCTCCTGAAAGAACCGCACGTTAGTCAACGGTTTGTTGTTTTCCTCTTGTTGTCTGTTCCTTTCTCGCTGAATGGGAAGATCAAAAGAACCAGGGGAACCGTCTTCGTCCTTGTATATACCTCCTTTTTTCCTTAAACGAAGAACGGAAAAGTTGGAATGCAAGGGAGAGATTAAAGAAGGCAAAAGGAAGGGAACAGGGGAACTCATCCCTGCCCTAGGGGGAGAGTGGGCCTTACGCAACAAACAAGTACTTGCTTCTCTTTCTTCCCGTCCAGGTGCTTCGCTCATCTAGTGTTATGCATTCTCTCCTCCATAAGCAAAACAAGAAGAGACAAAAGCTAGAAGGGAGAGAGCAGAGAGAAGAGGGAGGATGAATGGTGAGATTGTTCCTAAATCTTCAGTCTGTAACAAGAGAACCACATGGAGGATGATTGCAGTGAGACTGAGTAAGGGCGCTTATCTTTATCATTTGTTATTTCTTCCTTGTGTGTGTTCTTGTACATTCTGCTCGCGGCTTCCTCTTTTTTTCCTGTTGTTATCTAGCTTGCTTAAGCACTCTTGTTAGTTCCTTGTGTTTCCCCTGTTGTTTGTTCCTTTCTAGCTGAACGGGTAGACCAAAAGAACATGTGCAAGTGGACAGGGGAACCGTCTTCGCCCTTGTATTTACCCTTTTCTTTCTCCTTGAAAGAAGGAACAGAAAAGTTGGAACGCAGGGGAAGGATTAAAGAACGCAAAGGAAGGGAACAGAGGAACTCAGAACAAACAAGTACTTGCTTCTTTCTCTTCCCGTCCATGTGCTTCGCTCATCTAGTGTTATGCATTCTCTCTTCCACAAGACAAACAAGAAAAGACAAAAGCTAGAAGGGAGAGAGCAGAGGGAAGAGGGAGGATGAATGTAGTGAGATTGGTTTGTGTTCTTAAATCTTCATTCTGCAAGAAGAGAACCACAGAAGAGAAAGAAGAAAGGATTAGAGGATGAATGCAGTGAGACTGGGTGTGGGCACTTATCTTTGTCATTTGTTATTCCTTCCTCGTGTTTTCTTGTGCGTTCTGCTTAGAAAATTTGGAACGCAGGGGAGGGATGAAGGCAAAACTGAGGAATAAGGGAACTCAACTGCGCTCTAGGGGAAGACGAGCCCAGGGAACTCAGGCCTGCACTAGGTCTCTAGGGGGAGCCGAGACCCCCTTGCAACGAACAGCTGCCCGCTTTCTTTCGTTCTTTCGAGGGGTTTGTGGGGGGAGATCCCCGCGCGCAGCCCCAAATCCGACTTCGCGAGACTGTTTACTATTCTCTCCTCCATAAGAAAAACACAGAGCAGAGAAAAAGCGAGAAGAGAGGAGAGCGAGGACGAAGGTAACGAGATGATCTTGGGTTCTTGGACATTCATCTTTCTTTCCGGCAAGAACAGAGCCAGAGAAGAGAGATAAGAGAGCAAGATAAGAGAGCAGAGGAGAGGATGGATGTCTTCCTTGTTCTTCACCTGTTATCCGACTCCCTTCTCCTGAAAAATGTTTGTCGCATGTATGTTGTTTTCCTCTTGTTGTCTGTTCTTATCTCGTTGAATGGGTAATTAAGTTCAAAAGAAAAAGCGCAAGAGGACAGGGAACCGTCTTCGTCCTTTGGTTTACTTCCTTTTTTCTCCCTAGAAGAATGAACAGAAAAGTTGGAACGCAGGGGAGGGATCAAAGAACGCAAAAGGAAGGGAACACGGGAACTCATCCCTGCTCTAGGGGAAAATTAGGTCCCTTATGCAACAAACAAGTACTTGCCCTCTCTATCTCTTCCCACCCATGTGCTTCGCTCATCTAGCGTTATGCATTCTCTCCTCCACAAGCAAAACAAGAAGAGACAAAAGCTAGAAGGGAGAGAGCAGAGAGAAGAGGGAGGATCAATGTACTGAGATTGGCTTGTGTTCTTAAATCTCCATTCTGCAAGAAGAGCACCACTTATTCCTTCCTCGTGTTTTTCTTGTACATTCTGCTCGTGGCTTCCTCTTTCTTTTCCTTGTTGTTATCTAGCTTGCTTAAACTCTCTTGTTAGTTCCTTGTGCTTTCCCCTGTTGTCTGTTCCTTTCTCGCTGAATGGGAAGATCAAAAAACATGCTGGACAGGGGAACCGTCTTCGTCCTTGTATATACAACTTTCTGTCTCCGTAAACGAAGGAACGGAAAACTTGGAACGCAGGGGAGAGATTAAAGAAGGCAAGAGGAAGGGAACAGGGGAACTCATCTCTGCCCTAGGGGGAGAGTGGGCCTCCTTATGCAACAAAAAACTACTTGCTTCTCTCTCCTCTTCCCGTCCATGTGCTTCGCTCATCTAGTGTTATGCATTCTCTCTCGCGCAAGAAAATCAAGAAGAGACACAAGCTAGAAGGGAGAGAGCAGAGAGAAGAAGGAGGACAAGAAGAGAACCACAGAAGGGAAAGAAGAGAGGATTAGAGGATGAATGCAGTGAGACTGAGTGTGGGCACTTATCTTTGCGATGGGATTTCATTCCTCGTGTTTTTCCTTGTACATTCTGCCCGTGGTTTCCTCGTCCTTGTTCTTGTTGTTCTCTTTATCTAGCTTGCTTAAACACTCTTGCTAACTCCTGTAGATAAAATGAACATGCACAATTGGACAGGGGAACCGTCTTCGTCCTTCTTCTTTACCCCTTCTTTCTCCGTAAAAGACGGAACAGAACAGTTGGAGCGCAGAGGAGGGACTAAAGAAGGCAAAGGAAGGGAACAGGGGGGAACTCGTCCCTGCTCTAGGGGAGAGTGGGCCTCCCCTATGCAACAAACAACTACTTGCTTCTCGCTCTTCCCGTCCATGCGCTTCGCTCATCTAGTGTTATGCATTCTCTCCTCCATAAGCAAAACAAGAAGAGACAAAAGCTAGAAGTGAGAGAGCAGCCAGAAGAGGGAGGACGAATGGGTTGAGATTGACATGTGTGCTTTATATGTAGCCATTATTCTCCTCGGTAAGAAGAGCCAAGAGAGAGAGAGAGAGAGAGAGAGAGAGAGAGAGAGCGAGAGAGAGAGAGAGAGAGCGAGGGAGAGAGAGAGAGTGAGAGAGAGAGAGAGAGAAAAAAAAAAGAGGAGACGGTGGATGAAGGTAGTGAGACGGACTTTTTCTTTGATGATTCCTTCCACTTTCCTTTTCTTCTAAGAAAGGGAAGAGAGGAGAGGGTGTAAAGTGAATAGTGACTGAATGTAACACAGTTCCATGGTTCCTTGATCTTCTCCTGTTATCCGACCCCTTTTCTCCTCGACAACAGGAAGGGGTGATAAACCCTGGACTGTTCGTACAATCCTTTTATAACCGTTGAGTGCACAACCCTAGACCATGAGCCCAAAAGCCATAAAATGTCACCTACTTTCTAGTAGCAATATGCATAATATAAAACGCAAGTACTCATTTGATAACTGTTAGTACTGTTGAAGTAAAACCCAAAGCAAGTCATCACATTATACCTAAAGGTCCATGGCACATATATATATATATATGTGTATATATATATACATACAGAAATATAATACAGATCGTATAAATTATATGTCTATATTTATGTGTGTGTGCATATATATGGTCTGGTCAACCCCCCCCCCCCTCCTCCCGAGGCTGCTTTAAATGAAGAAGGCTTTCTCGAGCTCAATGCGAAAGTTCGCATCGATATGTGCACAGCCGTATACCGACACACCCCTAAACCCTAAACCTCCGACCGTTCACGCCCTCTTCACTTGGCTTGTTCTTGGGAGGTTGGGCTCTTGGACTGTGTCCTGCGGAGATTGCTCGAAACCGTCTTAACGAAACCTAAACCCTAAACCCTAAAACTCTAAACCCTAAACCCTACACTGAAGGAACGGGCCGAGCCGGGCATGGACAACTCTGCGTACCGTTGAGGTACTGGGGGGGACAACGCAGGCCTCGCCATCACTTTGGGCTTTGGAACCTCGGCTCGCATTTAGGGTTTAGGGTTTAGGGTTTGGGGTTTGGGGTTTAGGGCTAGGGTTTAGGGTTTAGGGTTAGGGTTTAGGGTCTAGGGCTTAGGGTTTAGCAAAGTCTTGCAGGAAAGGTCCTCAGGGCCCCGAGCCTCGATATGCCTCGGGTGCTGGACACCGGCGTGGCCAAGCTCTAGCATGCATACGTCAAGTGTGCATCTACTCAGTTTACTTAAACTAGGCCTTAGGGTGTAGGGTTTAGGGCTTAGGGAAGTTAATGAGGCAGTCCTTCGACCGCTTGGACCTGAGACCCAGAAGTCTTTGAGCCCAAGACCGCCTCATGCCTGGTCTGCCTGAAGCCCTGAAGCCGCGCGGTTTGCTGTGTTTGCTGCCCGCAGCCATGACACACGCACCTTGCCCGGAAGATCAGTGAGTTGCAAGAAGTGCTTCCCACGGCTTATCTTGCCTAAGACCGAATCATGGAGGCCAGGCACCGATCTCCCTTAGCAAAGTGATGCATCCTGCAAGTGCCTCGTCCGGGCCAGATGCGAATCACGGTGAGACATGTCGTCTCCACTTTTTAGACGAAAGCGAGACAGCTAAATCTTTCCTCTGCCAAAGTGCGGAACCATTGGGGTCGGAACAATTGCTTGGTATGCCCTTTTGGTCCCTTTAGATTTATACTCTTATAACCCCCAAACCCTATTCTAATTATAAAGGCCCCCATATACTAAGCTGCTCTCACTTCGCTGGGTGGTTCCAGCGGCAGCTGGATCCACGTGGGCAATTCCCAGTGCGGACAAAGTCCCAACACACCATGAAGTCGTCCTGCTGAGGAGCTTAACATTTCGGCTCGGGCCTGTTTAGGCATGTTGAAGCAAGAGATGTATCCAGTAGTGGGCACTTACCCTTTCAGCAAAGTCATCTTCTTATGTGAAGGCATAACCCTGTCAATACAACCCAAGGTTTCCCAAGATCTCTGCATTCTCACTTGCCAGGTCCCTTCTCTAGCTATAGACGCCGCGGCATCTCTCTCTCCCTCTCTCTCTCTCTCTCTCTCTCTCTCTCTCTCTCTCTCTCTCTCTCTCTCGCTCTCTCTCTCGAAGACCCCGCACGCTCCGCGGAGGCCACGTCCAGGCCCCCAGGTAAGGGATGCGTTCCTGGCAACAGACTTAGCGTGTTAAGCCGCTACGCAGAAGGCTTCGAGCCTCAAGGACTACTTCTATTGCACCGATATTCTACTATTGAAATATATACATATAATTACATATATGTTATTAGTACACTCCTATCTTGCTATATCATTTTAGGACAACCTTTGTGGGCGCAGAGGTGGCAACCGGTCTCCGATTCTCCACCCCATAGTTCGGCGGAGCGGCGCAACTTGTCCTCGAAGTCCTCATCCTCAGTGGGATCGAGGCAGTCCAAGACTCGACGTTGCAGGAGATTGCATGCTGGATGTCTGCTGAAAGGTCTTACAAGCCATCTTAGACCCTGGATTTAAGCCCGAGCTTTCTGAAACCTTGGCAAAACCGAACCCCCAAATCCTAAACCCTAAACCCTAGACAATCCGCCTCCTCACTGCGCTCGACCTTCTGGCCGATGGAAGCCATGAGCTTGAGCCAGTGAAGGCGCATGGCCTCCAAGGATGGATTTGGTTTAGGGTTTAGGGTTTAGGGTTTAGGGTGTAGGGTTTAGGGTGTAGGGCTTATCTTTTGGGATGTTCCCCCTTTTTCAACAGTCTGTAGGGTGTACTAAAATCCCTATTAAAGTATAAGGGGGAACATCCCAATTTATTTTGCATGCAAGCTGATTTGATGCCCAGTGGTTCAACGGTGTTGCTGCCGACATCCGGCTGGTCCATCCAGCGGCCTACAAGAATTTCGAGCATCGCCTAAATCTAAGACAAAAAAAATCAAGCTCCCTCTCTCGGGGCCCTTGCAGCAGTTGCTTTCGCCCCGCCCCCGCCCCCCCCCCGCCCCCCCCCCGCCCCCCCCCCCCCCCCCCCCCGCCCCCGCCCCCCCCCCGCCCCCCCCCCCCCCGTTTCGGCATTGGGAACCCTAGGCCCCCTAAACCCTGAACCGCGAGAGATCTACGGGCAACCTCAGCACTCTGGCGCCTTGGACATGTTCCCGACCCGCGGTAGGAGCCACTGGGTCACCTCGGAGCTCTCGGCCCCTAACAAACAAAAGCCTTTGAGTGAAGGGCCTAAAGCGGGGGTATTTTTTGCAAGCCTTAAAAGAAAGAGGGAGGCTTGCTACACGCAAGGACACCAGCCACTCAGCCATTCAGCCATCCCAAAGCCATCCCAACAAGCACAAGCACGCAAGGGCGAGGCCGTGCATGCAAAAAGCAGTCACTTTTTGTTGCAAGCTGAGCACTGTTGAGCAGCAGGCTTCGGAATGACACGTGTGTAAGTCCCATGCATTCACTCATGATCACTGGTTGCCTACGTCACCAACAGCTTCATTTGTCCCTTGGCCGCTGCTGAACCGCGCGCTCCCTTCAATGGCTGGCGCGAATGGCTTTCCGATGCCTGTGAGGACGGCTTGTTTCTCCCACTTGCTGGAGTGAGTAACTGCATTGTACACTCCCACGCTGTATTTCTGGCAATTCCACGACAGTGTGCGGTAAGCAGGGAAATCATTGAGGTATGCCTGGCTCCATCGCTTTAGCCCTCCCAATGTCATGGGATATTGGGGCGAGTTCTTCCATCCAGCTCCAACGAGCCCGACACTGTTGTAGGCACCAATGAAAGATGCAGCCACCTTGGCCGGTTGCTGTAACTTCACGCTGTAACCCTTCTTGGTGCCCTGTTGAAAATTCCACGAGTAGCGGGGCAGGTCGGCTGTCTCAACTTTGCCTGGGTGAAAGTGGCATTCGATGTGCGCTTGGTTCTCGCCGTTGTCAAGTAGAGCTTTCAAGCCGGACTGCTCCACGATGGCAGACTTGCCACCCTCAAGATCAAGCACAGCAAGACAGTGGGTGGCAAACGCATTGATATCGCAGCAGTAGGTCCTGGAATCCAGGATCCTCAGTCCACCATTGGCATTGCAACCGCTAGGGCTCCCAAGGAAGCTGCCACCCTGGCTGCCCCACTCCAGGACCTGCGCATTCGCGGCAGCCAAGAGCAAGAACCGGAGCACAGCTTTAGGAGCCGAAGTCATGTTGACGAAGATCGTCAAAAGATATATATAAAAAATGCCCCAAACGAAGGGACACACAGGGACCTGAGAGGGCCAACAAATGCTGGAGCCCGGAATGCTGCGGCGGTTTCTGATGAAGAAATGTGCAACTTTGCTTGAGGTTCAATGAAGCTCGCCCTGCAAGAGCTTCCGAATAAAAATCTCGCATGCAATTTGGCAAAAGTGATATCTCCGACAACATTCTCCTTCAGCATCGATACCCAACCCGTTGCCATGCTTGCCCCCAATCTCAGCAGATGGCATCGCGGAAGACGTCCGGGTCAATTGCATTCAAGTCCTTCAGCGCCATGTGGGCCGAGTAAGGGCTCCGGCTTGATTTTTTTTCGGCTGTAATGAGTTGCAGCGGCTTGAGGAGATTCAAACCGATGGCAATGTTGACACCGTGCAGGATACAGGGAACGCACGTTTCCGTCAGAAGGGTGATTCTGCACGATTCGTTGGGTTTGATTTCGCAAATGGACGGATGAATGGCCTTTTATTTCTCAAATCCATACTGCCACGCCTTACATGCCCTGCTCTTGCAAATCCACTTGAAAACTCCAATCCAGCAATATGATTAGATGTTGCTGTATGCGAAATATGTATGATCATATTAAATACTTAAATATAATCATCTAATATATACATATACATATGCTTCTATTAACATACAATATGCTTCTCTATGTAATAGCACTCTAAACTAAACACAACGAGGTGCCACAAGGTGCTGGGCCACCGCCGTCACCTGGTGTATGTCGAACTGACCCCAGCGGATGCGGCACCTCGAGAGTTCTTAGAAGGAGCTTGAAAGGTATGCAGGGTTTAGGGTTTCGACTCTCACACCCGCACAAGGCCGTTTAGGCTTTAGGGCTTAGGGTTTAGGGTTTAGGGCTTCGGAAAGTTTAGGAAAGTTTCGGGTTTAGGGTTCACAGACTTCTCTGACAGGCAATGCAACTAACTAGTGAATCGGGGCTTGGTGAGCTAAGCCCCAGCGCGGCCTGATGTGCACGAAGACCGCCTCGAACAACTCGCCATCGAAGAACTTCAGACGGGCCTGAGCATGGTGGGGTTTTTGGGTTTAGGGCGGTTTCGGGTGAATTGCAAGGCCACTCGAGGCATTCCTGGAATAACTCCCACCACAGGCAACTTTCAACCCCTCGGCCTGGATAGGACACACCTGAATAACATGAAAGCAGGGCTCCCGACGACCCTTAGCATGAATGCTCTTCCCTTTCGATCCCCTACCCATGTAGGCAATCCATGAAGCCGGCGGGCGTCCTACACTTGCATCACTTGCAACCATAAGCCAGCAAAGCTGGCATTTACCAAACCCACCAACCATCAGAAGCAACACAGCAGATGAGTGCTGACAACCGGCCGCCGTCTCGCACAAGGCGGTCAGCTCCTAGCCAGGCTCAGCAAACAAGGCCCCTCGATACTTCACACATCTTCACATCCATGTTAGTAGAAACTGTCCGAACTGCGGACCGCGGAGGCTTCTTCAGGTCTGCTTTGTGTCCACAGATGTTTCTTCATCCCTGCTGACCGAAGCCGCTGATCCCCTGACAGGCCTCAGCTGACATCTTCATGGAGGCCTCCTGGATTGCCGGACTCAGCCGCAGGAACTCCTGGATTGCCACCAAGCCAAGCATATGAGAAACAGAAAAATGAGTGTTTACATGCTTGCATGAATTGAATCGTGTATGTCATGCTCCACAGCAAGGTTTTGCCAGGGGAAACCACCACCCTGAGGACCTAATGAACCCTGAAATTGGGATGCTAGACCACATGCTGCAGGTTTCAATTCTCCCTATGGTGGGACGCCAAACCCTTTTTGGGGGTTGGGGGAGCCCCTCTTGGGACTTGCGCTGAGGTGCCGAGAACGTCTGGATGTCTCGCATGCTGGCCGGCCTCAGTGCAGGCATCATTGATCCCGAGAACGGCCTTCATTTGTTTGCCCTTATGTTCAGGCTGGCCAAAGTAAGGTTTGGGGTTTAGGGGTTTTTAGGGTTTAAGGCTTAGGGTGGGTGTCTTCGTGTGCGGCAGGGTGGGGGGGGGGGGGGGGAGTTCAATCCAGTCGAAAGAGGTCTACGAGAGGATGTATACTGATTGTCGACTTGCATGAAGTTCGAGGTGCCCCTACCTCGGGGACGACATGAACCCGAAAAGGGTTTATGGTTCATAAACCTGAAAAAGGAATTCTAGTAGTCTAGGGTATATGACCCCACTTTTAGGGTTCATTTCGTCCCCAAGGTATGGCCCTCTCTCAGTGCATTCCTGCGATGCATGAGGACCCAAGACCCGACTCGAGGCGGTACCGAGGACGCTGCAGCTTGACCGCTGCTGCTGGAGAGTCGCCAATGCTTTCCTCTCTCCACAAGAGTCGGCTGCTTTTGCTGCTGGGGGGAAGTTGAACATCAGAGGGTTTCGGTGGTAAGACTGCTATAAGTCCCCCCCCCCCCCCCAAGCTACTCCCAACAGAAAAATCGCAAGACGGTCAAGTCCACAATAAATCTGAGTCAGATACTCGTCTTTGCGTCCAATCTGCCCTCAGAAGAAATAAACATCCCGAGAACAAACAGCATAAACTCTTGAAAGCTGCTGCTTCACAGCGGGACCAACGGTTTCTCTCTCAAGGTAACTCTACAACCAAAACCTCTAAACTCGGCCTCTGATTCCTAAACTCCAAACCTAAAGCCCTTGTTCCGTCTGGGCCTAGATGAATACCGGGAGCCAAACAGCGTAAGCATCCCGACATCGTGCTCGTGACCGTCCCGGCAGATCTGTGATTTGAGACGCCGCGCTACAGGAATGATGACGACAAGGACCCTAAATAGCACCCAAAAGGGCTTGCTACAACTCTAAACAGCAAACCCTATTAAATCCCAAACCCTCAAACCCCTAAACCCTTTAACACGCCAACCCAGGTAAACCCTAACCCCTTGAACCCTCCAACCCTTAAACCCCTTAACCCCTAAAACCCCAAACCCCCAAACCCCAAAACCCTAAAACCCCAAAAAAACCCCAAAACCCCAAAAACCCCAACACCCCAAAAAACCAAAAAACCCTAAAACCCTAAAAACCCTAAAACCCTGAACCCCAAAAAACCCTAACACCCTAAAACCCTAAAACCCTAAACCCGAGCATGGAGCGCCTCGTTGAGGCTGTCGTCCAGTTCGCCCAACCCCCAAACCCTAAAACCCCAAAACCCTAAAACCCCCAACAAAAACCCTAAAACCCCAAAACCCTAAAACCCCCCAAAAAAACCCTAAAACCCCAAAACCCTAAAACCCCCCAAAAAAACCCTAAAACCCCAAAACCCTAAAACCCCCCAAAAAAACCCTAAAACCCCAAAACCCTAATCTGCTCCCCCACAGCGGCGCCTCTGGGGCCTCGGTGGCGGCGTCGCGGCGTTTGCTGAGGCCAAGGGCCTGGCGCAAAGCCGCCACCTGCAGAGAAAACGAGGAAAGGCCATACACGTTGAAAGGGAAAAACATGCTATTTTGCAATTCGTGGAACTCCTTAAAGGGTTCTTAGAGGATAGAAAATGTAGATTACAAATATGCAAAAGAAGAAAAGCACAAAGAAGAAATGGAAATAGAAAATGAAAGACAAAGAACCTCTTTGAGGTTGGATTGTAAAAATAATGTCCTCCACAAAGCCATTGTATTAAAGATGGAAATGGAGATAACGAACTTGTAATTACTGTAACTCCTCATAAACTCATTTGTCCTAAAGGTAAAACATAACCCATAAATGCTGTTCCCATTACGAAGTAAAGAACATATGTTTGGTACTTTATATATACGTACATACTGATTTGTGTATATACCACATACAATATGTATGTGTATATATATACAAACAGATTGGAACACAACTAGAACATTCAATAATAGAATGAAACATATACGATAATTCCGTATATAATATATGTATGTGCATATGTATGTATATTTCTATATACATATAACTGTCGTGTAGACAGTGCATGTATAAACCAATCTGAATACGTATATATATATATATACATATATATATACATATATATATATATGTATGCACATAGACATGGTGGAGCATTTGCATACATAGCATAAAGAGAGACACGCACATATGCACGTTAAAATTTTAGTAAATGTATACATATACATACATATATATATATACATACACATATATATATATACACGCACGTAAGGGAAAAACAGATAAACAATTGACGGGATTCACGGCTGCATAGCTTGGGGCTTGGGACTGTGCTTTTGGGTTCTGCCCAGGTTGTCAGCCAGAGGATGGATGCGTGTTGGCGGGGCTGAATGCTGCACTTTGCTGTTCCTTGGGGACGAAATGAACCCTAAAAGGGTTTATGGTTCATATACCTTAATAGGAAATATAACATAGGGTATATGGCCCCAAATTTACGGTTCATGTCGTCCCCAAGGTTTAGCTTTGTTCAGCAAGCGTGCGTGAAAATTCACTATTCCATTCCTTTGTCACAGGTCGTAGGGGTTTGCTCTCATAAAGCACCCTTTCAGCATCCTACTCTGTGAAGCCTTGAATGGGATGTTCGCTAGTGACCGCTAGCACATGTGCAGAATCACTTGCTACATCTTGCGACACTGTCCATCTGCTTTCCTGGAGACAGGATGCCTGCGCCAAAGTTTGCGCTTCGGGAACATCGTTCTTCTCGGCAGTCTCCTTCAGCAACAAATCTCCGAGTCTATAGATGGCAGGAATGTCAAACATGGGTAAATGAGGAGCCTGACTGCATTGAGTCTTGCGCGCTTGGAATGTCCACCAACAGCTTTGCTTGCTCTTTCACTTGCAGACAGCAGTCTCAGACCTGGCCCTGTAGGGGAGGCGGTCTGTTCTTTGGTCAGGATACTTTGAAAGTCACTTTCAGAATGGCTTCTTCGGCCCCGCCTGCGACTTACGAAGCTGTAGTTGTTAAAGCTGTTCAACTCCTATAGACTAAGAACTGCATGAGCTCGCCAAGCCGTCAAACCTCAGAGGGCTCTATCTCATGACACCCCCCAAGCCCTTGACCTTGCTTCGGAAAACCTCAACAGCCTTGAGAGTTTCTAGGCCCTGTATGAACCCAGCCTCCTGGCTCGGAGGAAGCTTTGGCAGGCCCCGCTGGAGAAGGGCCGTCTTCTGGGACTTTGGGGCACCTGCAGATTGAACAAAACCCATGCGTCCATGCAGGGCAGCGTGACTTGGTAGGACTGGGGGGTACCAGGATGGGCTATGAGGCCTGATAATCCCCATAATGAACCCTACGAAGGGTCTTTTAAGGGATTATGGAGTGTAATAGCCCATCCTGGTACGTGGCAGATGTGAGCATCTTCGGATAGAGGCGTTCTGGGAGATAGAATGACGATGCATCACTACATCACCTTCAAGGCGCCCTCCTCACAGGCCCACAGTGCCCTCTCCCCAAATGAAAACCTAAAACCACCGCCGCGCACCACTATCGTGTGCCGACCCTCGTCATCATCGGAGGACTCGTCGAAGGAGAGCTTCGGACGGGCCCGCTTCATGCTCGGGGGCCGGCGCGGGCGCCATGCAACAGAGGCTTTGCTGTTGGGGAATTGTCCCGTGGAGCTTTGAGAGGCTACACTGCTGCAGAGTTGCTCCGCCGGGGGGCGAGGGGGGGCTTCTTTGAATGTTCTGGAGCTCTTGGGAGTGCTTTTTCTTGGGAGAAAAGCGCCCGCTGACTTTATACCATGACTGGTGCTAGGCTTGCTCTTCGAGCGTGGTCAAAGGTCTGCACTTATTGGAACGTGACCTCTGGCCGGATATCGGACCTGCCATGGCATGCTCCGGGGTTCGAGCACATTCACGGCGGCATGGGGCTTGAACTCACACAGTCGATTAGCGGCTTCAACGATGAGCTTTATAGCTCCCCAACCTGATCTTCGCCTATCACAAGGTCGGAACACTGCGCTGCCTCTCACGGGAAGCATGCCGAGCTTTGACCATCTTGACCCGACATCATTCCCCCAACAACCTTGAAAGCCCTCACCCACCCCCCTAAGCCCTAAACCCTAAACCCTCCCACAAGCCCATCCCAATTCCGAGGGTCCGGGCGGCCATGGCCTTGCAGCTCTCCGAGGAGTTGAGGCTCCTCCGCATGGGCACCTGGGTTTCATTTTTTCGTGATATGCTTTCTTTACATCTGGAAGATTGGCAGTTTGTGCCGTCTTTGTTGAACTTTGAGTCCTCGATTACCGGGCGATGCTTTCGGTTCTTGAATGAAAGACTTGTGCTCATGTGGCGGATGTGGTTGGTGCTTTTGGTTGGGGTGCATTAGAACGGTGAGTTCTACTACGCAGTGAACATTGGGGTAATTGGGATGTGAGGTCTTGGCTGAGGTGGGGTGCTTCGGATTATGTGTTTTTTGTTTTGGGGTTTCGTGTTGTGTTGGGAGGTGATGCGCGTGTTTGGGCTTGTTTTTGGGATTTTGGGGAGGTTCGGGAGGCGGATTGCGTACTGTGGATTAGGAAGGGTTGTTTGGGGTGCCGATGTTGCTGGGCAGGTTTCATGGTCCCGAATCCCCGAGGTGAGGCGAGCACAAAGTGAGTGTCCCCTGCGGCAGATTCTCGTGCTTGCCTGATGTGGCATGATTTTGCCAGCTCGAGATCTGACAAAGGCACGGGGGGGCTATCTGCTTCGCGCAAGATCGAGCAACAAACGTAGCCTAAGTAGCGTACGGCAAACCCTTTGAAGCCCAACACTACAGTAGGATGGTCCTGAAAACCCTCTCAAAAATATTTCTGATGTGATCCTCTTCAACCCAATAAGAGAAAAAACGAGATGTCCCAAGTCCCTACCTAGCAAAGCCAGAAGAAAAGCCCACCATCCGGCCACCTGGGAGTGTCGTGCCTCTGCATCAACGGCTCCCGAGCCCTCCGCCGCTCGGCTGAGATTTTTGGGTTTAGGGTCCTTAGGGCCATCGTTTGGCCCTTCTAGTAGGGAGGCTTGGAATAGGTTCGGGTTCCCGCAGTTCTTAACCTTTCTTTGGGCTACGTATGAGGAATGCGCAAGCTGAAGCTCTCTGCGAAGCAGCTTGAGGGCAGCTTTCCTCAATCGGCGTGTGAGGTTTGCTCATTGTCAAGGGGTTTCTGGAGCTCGCTGACCGACACTCGTCCTTAAGAGCTTGGTCTGCTAAGAACCTTGGGAGGCTTCTGCTTCAAATATCCCCGCAGGATCCTGGGAAGGGTCAAGGCCTGTGGAAGCTTTTCCTATACTGAACTTGGAACCCTAGCAAAAATCCAAATTTAAGCTGTTTCTTAGGAATTGTTGTACCCAAAAAATCGAAAAACACTTCCAGATATCCCTAAGATTTCAACTTGGAACGGGAATCGTGGCAGCCTGGAACATCAGTGGAGAGCCTGCAAGACTAAGTCACACTGACCAAGCCAGGCAAGTGCGTTAACAGGAACTGGAAAAGTTTAGCCGAAGAACTGCGGCAGAAGCCCAGACATGTCAAAAGTAATTGTGAGGAGCCGGCCTGGGATTGCGCAGGGACAGATCCGGTCTGTTGCCTTCAGGCTAGAAGGAGTGAGAGACGAGGAGAACCGGAAGCTGAAACCCTCAACCCTAAACCCTGAACTCCGTTCTCGCAACAGGCTTCTGACAGCCCCTTCTTGCAACTGAGCTGGGGACTTTCAAAACCCTAAACCCTGCAACTTCCGAAGTAATCGGAAACTTGGCGGGAGGAGAAGTCTCTCTTCGGAGCTCCTCTGCCTCTTCCAAGTCATGCTCTCCATTTGAGGACAAGGCTTAGGGTTTATAGCTTTGCGAGGTCGGGGATGTCCAGCCTCCTTCATATCCCAGAACTCAAAAAAACATCTAAACCCTAAACCCTCAACCGTCAACCGTCAACCGTCATCAACCGTAAACCGTAAACCGTAAACCCTAAACGCTGAACCCTAAACCCTAAACCCTAAACCCGCGCGGCCAAAGCAAGATGCCTGCCAGCTGTGCCTGGAGATACTCGAGCGACGCATCCTCGCAGCCGGCGACACAACCAAGCAGTCACTCATGCCCAGGATTCCTCCGATGAAGCTATATATGTATACAGTACATATATATATATATATGTATCAAACATACATACATACATACATACATGCATATACATGCATATATACTAAAAACATATAGGGATATATACACATACGCGCATCTTTTTTGAATGATAAATGATCGCCGGATGACCAGGCAAGGCCATGCTTGCAAAGGCTCATTTGGAAACGCCCGCAAAAGGCACACAGGGACCCGAGATCGTGGAGGCCGTAGCGCCAGCATGCTGCGGAGGCACCCAAGCTTCACGACGATCCGGTTTTCGAAGCTAACGGCCAGGGCTTCGCGTGGGCGTCAAGATACTTTAATAAACCATACAGTACCTAGCACCATTTCAGACTACTGCTCTCAGAGACGGCGTCGGCACACGGCATTCCAATGATTTTGTCAAGACTTCAATCTTCGTCGAAAAGGTGGGAAGTTATGGAAGATTCAATTTCGCGGCCCGATGTCAAGTAACAGCACTCCTCATGCCAGTCACCTCAACTCATCCGCAGCAAATCAGACTATCAGACGCTGTGCCTTGACGAAGTTTGGCTGGATCCTCAGCCATGCAAGAGCAGTAGCTCAACTGTGAAGCAGGAAGAGGCGGGTCGGGAAAGTCGTAGAGCAAGCGGATGTGCAGGGAGGCGTTCTCACTACGACCAGGATGGGTGGACTCAACAATCGACATCAGCAAAACAGACTACCTTGGATTATTGATCCTACTACAAGCAGAACAGGTCACGTTTTTGTCATGTGCAACAGGGGTCGGCTCCATTGTCCGACTTTCCGTCGAGAGGAGTTGGGGAGTCAACTTACAAAAGGCCAAGGTTAGGCATTTCTAGGGCGGCTTAGGTGCTTGTAGGATCTAAGGACTCCGGCTGCGTCTGGCTAAAGGTTCTTCAGGTCCCAAACTCCTGGTGTGCCGCTGCGCCGCGGCCAGCACCTCTTCATTAACGTGCGTCGGGGATGAAGGGCCAGTCTTCGTGGAACAACACCTCTCTGTAGCCCAGGTCAAGCAGGCAACCTGTGTGGCCGGGGCAACCTCTTCTAGCATGATTCCTGGAGACCCTGCACCAACAGAGACCTTTAGAGAGACATGCGGGAACCTAATGACGAGTCCTGCCCCAGCATCATCTACTAGCTAAAGCTCTGCTCTTCCTCCACGTCCAGGCCCCGTGCGGTACATTCATCCCATAGACATGGCTCCAACGCACTAGTGTACAGGGCTGCAGCGTGTCGCAGGGTCATCAACCGCGTTGTCGGTCGGGGCAATCGGCTGCTTCGCAGTCTTGTGAGCAGCGCAGCTGCTTGGTAAGCTGTCTAGGGGGTTTCCGAGATTAGGGCTACCTTGCTGGGGGTCCTGTTTAGAAGGGAATCCAACTATCTGGGGTCTACTTTAGTCGGGGTCCCCTCATCCTCTTTTCGTAAACCCCCCATATTAACCTGCCCAATTGTCAAAAGATTCTCCCGGATGATTGCTGCATCCTTCATCCTGCGCTGCTCTGGTGCAACGCTTGCTACTCCGCTTGCTGCAGCCCTAAACCCTAAACCCTAAACCCCAAACCCTCAACCCTGGACCCTAAACCCTGAAACCGCTACTCCGTGTCTGCAGCGGTCTTGGAAGGAGTCTCCTCAGAGTCCGAGTCTGCTCCTGGCGAAAAGTAGGTTCTTTTTGGTACACTTCTCGAAAAGTAGGGTTTTAGGGTTTGGGGTTTTGGGGGACTGTAAACCCTCTAAAACCCTCTGAAACCCAATAAAACCCCCCAAAAAACCCACAAAAGACCCTCATAAAAACCCTAAACCCTAAACCCTAAACCCTAAACCCTAAATGGCGCCATCCAAGAGTCGCTGGCGTCCGCAGCGGAAGATGCTGAGGAAGCTCAGGCTCTTCGTCGACTTCGGCGTGCCTCCGACATCGAAGCGATTTGAGGGCTTATACGATTAGGGGATACCTTCGTGGGGGTTTAGGGTTTAGGGTTTAGGGTGTAGGGTGCCTTCGTGGGGTCCTTATTATAAGGGGTTCTCCTATTAGGGGTACCTCCTTATTATAAGGGGCTCTCCTATACTGTCCCTGATTATCGTAAGCCCCCCCCCCTCCATTTTTCTTCCGGGCGGTTTAGGGTTTTAGGGTTCAGGGCTTAGGGTTGTAGGAGGCTTTTGAGGATTTTTTTGGGTCTCACTCCCTAGCAGGGGTTTTAGGGGCAAGGTTTTGGGGCGCCAGGGCTTGTCCATGTTGGTCAAGGATGAGACATTCTCTACTGAGAAAGTGCAATGGACCTCTCCAACACAGAATGGCAACAGGATGGCAGGTCAACGTCTTGACCATCTCACACTTATTCCACCTTCTACATGCAAGCTTGAGGCAGAAAACAGACGCCTCTCCCAGTTTACATCGTACGAGCAGCTGCTCTGTAGCCTGACGTTGCTGCCCTATCTGCCGTTCACGGCCAGCTTGGGCGCATGTTGCTTGTCAAAAACTCCGCGGGCATTTGGGAAACAATGCACTCAGACTTCCTCCGGGCGAGGTTCAATGTTGATACGAGTCTGTACGTCTGCCGAACTCCGCTGCGCACAAGACGGTTTGGGGTTGAGGAGTCGAAAACGCTCGGCCATCTTAGACAGCACTGTTGTGTACTGCCTGGCTATTTGTAGAGCCCGAAACTTCTGAAGCGGCGCACCTCTGCTTGAGGAGCTGGCAGTGCGGAGTTCTTCAGCCTGTGCCTTCCACTTCCTGGGCACCATTTCGGAATACTTCAGGGTTTAGGGTTTAGGGTTTAGGGTTTAGGGACACAAGGAGCTGTGATGGCTGTGTTGAACGGACAGTGATCGGAAGGCATCGGTACCCGAGTGTGGCTGGTACTGGACATTGCTGCTTATGGGGATTCCGCGCTGGCTACAGCCACTTGGATCGGCAGCCGTATGGGGGTCCTTCCAAATGTGTGGCATTACGTTTGCTTTGTGCACATTCTACAAACCCTCCCTGGAACCAACAACCCATACACCCCTATATGATCCCATGTACAGTCCTGAAAAGCAACATAAACCCCTACATAATCCCTTGTACTTTCCTGAAAAGCCATATAATAAGTCCCTCCATTTCGCTCAGTGCAACCCTCGGCTGCAAACTGGTCACTGCCACGACTGTTCCGACAAGACATCCAGCAAGTCAATGCCAGAGTCGGGATGGACCACACGCGGTCCTGGGACCCTCAACCCTAAACCCTAAACCCTAAACCGGCAAAGCAGGGGATTTAGGGATTGTTTTCCTTTCCCCTCCAGCACAGCCGGGGCAAATCCACAGGGCAGGGATGATTTATAGGTTTTCTGCTTGAAGGTTTTCTTGCCGCCCGCCTAGCTGAACTGTACGTCCACAATCGGCTTTAAGTTTTCGGGGGTTTCGAATGGGTTGAGAGGTTCGGATCCCTAGAGCCGTAAGCCCGTCTAGCACGGACTGACTGAGGAGGCTGCCGGCAACATCTGAACCCTAAACCCTTCGTAGCGGGCATCTCTGGGGGGTCAGTCGTGACATCTTGAGTGGAAGGGTTGCTTGGGGGGGTCCCTCCACTTCCCTCCACCGCCCTCCACGGTGACTTGTTGCCCCGGCGCAAGGCTTCCGTACCCTAGGTTCCTTGTAGGGCTGGCCGGAAGAGGCAGCATATCTCAACGTGTCGTGGGACAGGCAATGCAGCCCACTTTCAATGCCATGTCCCCTTCCAAGACCTCCCACTCACTTCGAGCGGCGGCTTTGAAAATCTTTGAGGCCTCCAATGGCCTCCAATGCTTGCATTGCGAGAAATGCTTGCAGCACGAGTGCGTTTCGCCACGCGGGGCGTGAGCGACCACTTTGATCTGGACATCGCCAGCGTGCAACAAAAACTGTGCTGAGTCCCGGGAAGTAGGTTTGGTATTGCGGGGCGTCACCCCCACCCCTGAGCTGGAGAGGAGGTGCAGGGCGATGACTTGGCATGTCACAATAAACTTTTGATTAACTAATCCGCAAATTAGGAAAAACACACACACACACACACACAACTCGTATTTAGCAGATATGTTGCAAGTGTAGCAATATTGCACATTAATACTTGCAGATGCGTTCTTTCTCCTGCTTTTCAGGATTGCACGTTTTGGTTGCAGACTTTTTTCTGTTGCTCTTCTTCGAAATCACTTCAGAAGAGCTATAGTCTGACAATGCATATGCAACGAAAATATGTAGGGGAATTATAAGAAGCAGTCCTAACACGCCAGAAACCGCGCAAGATGTCTGCCCAGAAAGCCTTGCTGAACGTGTCTTCTGCTGCTCTAATAACCGTACACGATGAAACCTCGCTAAACCCTAAACCCTAAACCCTAAACCCTAAACCCTAAACCCTAAACCCTAAACCCTGACCCCTCAACCCGCGGCCTCGGCGCTGGAACGCCAACTCGGGCCGCCGGTTTACCGCCAGGCGCTCGGCCAGGAGCTCCGATGCGCGGGGCCGGAGCCCTGCGGAGGAGAGGGGTTTAGGGTTTAGGGTTTAGGGTTGCAAAGGGTTTGGGGTTGCAAAAGGGTTTTTTAGTCCTCTTCCCCTGCAGCCTTTTCCCAGGTAGGACTGTTCAAAGCTACTCTGGTTTTAGATGGTTGCAGGTGGCGCTTTCGTAGCCTCAGGTATAGCTTCAGTGCACGCCGCCCGTTGCCAAGTCTTGAACAAACTGGCGCCTTGGGCTATCTGGAACAAATCTTCGAGGCTTGGCTCGCGCTCCTGTAGGACTGATCGGATGGGGAGCGAAACTAAACCCTTAACCCTCAGCCCTCAGCCCTAAACCCTAAACCCTAAACTCGCGATGACCGGCACGTTCGGGTCCCCATGAGGTGTGACCCTAAACCCCACACACCTCCCCCTAAACCCTAAACCCTAAACCCTAAACCCTAAACCCTAAACCCTCCTCCCATTGCAGGCACTTCCACAGCTGCAGAAGCGCATCTGCCGGATCCACTCCGCCGATGCTCGCGCCATGCGCATCCACCACGGCCACCTCGGCATACGCGTACTAAAGGGGCCTACATAATTAGAATAGGGTTTAGGGTTTAGGGTTTTTAAGGGGGTCTTTTTATAGGGGGCCGAAATAACCAAAATAGGGTTTTCCTTTTTTTTTTTTTGGGGGGGGGGGGGTTCTTTTAGTATATTTATAAAGAGACCATAAGGGAATAATTCTCGGTAACTATTCCGACCCCTGTAGTACCACTTCGGCTCAGGGATGTGTTCACCTTCCTTGTGGGAACCACCTGGGAACAGCAACCCTAAACCCTAAACCCTAAACCCTAAGTCCAAAAGAAGCCGAGCCGCGGTGAGGCCCAGAATGCCCGCGAAGCCATGACATCTCACGTATTCCTTGCCCAAGTCTCAACATATCACATAGGCAAACATAGGCGCCTCAAAACTTAGAATAGGAATCTTTAGGGGTCTTGTAGTCTAAGTAGAAAGGGACAGGAAGGGTATACGACTAGCAATTATTCCGAACCCTGTGTTACACAGCACTACAAATTGCTCGCGTCCCCAAGGGTCCAAGACCTCCGGAAGCAGCCTAAACGGCAGCCAGCGCGCAAAGAGCGTGAGCCAGGCATCCAGTAAAAAGACGTCGATGATGATGCCCTGATGTTGGGATGTTCCCCCTTTTTCTAGCAGTCCTTAATAGGGATTGTCGTAAGGGGTACTATGATCCCTATTAAGGACTGTTAGTATAAGGGGGAACATCCCAACCTTGTGTTTGGTGCTCAGTACTTCATTCTGCTTCACACAACTCTCGTGCATGTGCGCGCGAGGGCACAGCTTCTGAGACAGACCATCGCTCGAGCTCACTCCCCTAAACCCTAAACCCTAAACCCTAAATCCTAAACCCCACGAAATGGTAACCCAACCTTCCATCTCGGCTGCAGCATGCATGTCTTGCCATTCAAGAGCCCGGAGGCGGAAAGTCAGGAACGAACAGCGACCTATTTTTTGCCACGAAGGAACTTCAGACCAGCCCCAACATGTATGATGATTATGAACTTTTTTTGGATTTCAGTGAGGACTGTCTAGACAAGACATACTTATGGTTCATGCTGGAGTTTCTCTGAGTCTTGCATGGCACGAGCTGGGGGTGCGTCTGTTGCTGTCGTCGCCCACCGCTCTCCCTGACACCCAAGCGCAAAAGCCCCAGCCAAACACACACACACACACACAACCCACCCCACCCCACCCCAACCCAACCCAACCCACCCCAACCCAACCCAACCCACCCCACCCCACCCACCCACCCCCCCGCCCGCCCGCCCGCACGCACACACGCACGCGCACAATCAATCTCAGAACGCCCCCTAAAGTTCCCTAAAGGTCCTTCTTGGGAAATGTTTAGGAAGGAGATACAGGACAAGTTTACACACTGCAATTTGGCCCTTGGCATTTTGGGGGATGTTTCCCTGGCCTGGGACTGGAAAGAACGTGAGAGCTTCGGAGCTTGCAGTGCCAACAGTGCATCGAAGGCATACTTCCTGGGCGTGAATGCCTAGGGGCGCCACCATGAACCCTACAACGGTTTATGGCTCATATAACTGAATGGGAGTTGTAGTAGCATTTGGTATATGACCCTAAGATTGGGGTCATGTAGTTCTCAGAGTGGTGACACTCGGCAGATCGGCGTTGGGGCATGTCTGTCGGGAAATGCGGCAGGGACATAGGGGTGACCACTCCCATAACGATGGCCATGATCACCCCAACCAACATGAAAGGGGGACAACCAGGGACTGCTCCGTAAACCCTAAACCCCAAAACCCTAAAACCCTAAAACCCCATAACCCTATAAAACTATAAAACCCTGAAAACCCTAAATCCTTAACAGCCTAAAACCCCACGCGCCCTAGAACTAAAACCCTAAACCCTCAAACCCTAAACCCTGTAAACCCTAAACCCTAAACCCTAAACCCTGTAAACTGTAAGCCCTAAACCCTAAACCCTAAACTGGGTTTAAACCCTAAACCCTGCTTGTGTCTCCCAAGAAACGCGGTCTCGAAGAGGTGGAAACCCGGTAACCAGAGCTCTCGCACGTTCTCGAGGCAAGCCTGGAACCTTTCTGAAACCAAGGATCCAAATATGGTTTTTTTTTTTTTTTTTTAACAACCCTTCACTCCTTTTCGGGCGAGCTTACAGCTAGGGTTAGGGTTTAGGGTTTATAGGGTTCAATTGCGGAACTAGGTACCAAAAAACGCCACGTAGTATGGTTGCCTCGCATCCATTTCCATGACAGTACTGCAACTACTTGAAGTGGGACCTACGTGAAAGGTTTCGACCCTTCGCTCGCACGCGGCCAGGCTTCGGAAAGGGTAGCTCAAAGTGAAGGCTTATTAGGCTTAGGATTGTTCAGGGTTGCTCCGGCTGTCTCTCGCAGGAGGCAGGCATATCGGGTTTAGGACGTAGGAGTTTACGGCCCTTGCTCTGGGACTATCCAGGCAAGTCCAGACAAGTCGGGTTCAGTACATGGGCTGTGCAGCTGTGTAGGGGGTGCCTGGCACGGAGTATCCCTAAACCCTAAACCCTAAATCCTTTTTCCCTAAACCCTAAATCGGCCCTATATCCAACCTCTGGACCTGTGCTGGTTTCAAGCCATTAGAAACCCCCGTGCGCCCGCACGGAGTTCTGAAGAAACTGATCGGGTGTCCACCATGGTGTCGATCCCATGCGTACTCCGAGGCCCGAGGCAAAGTGCGATACAAGACGGACATCATATAATCGTATACTAATGCAACAACAATATTACATTAACGAAATAATCACATCATTCTTATTAGAGAACACTGGTCTTATATTGGACTACAATTTGCTTGCACTCTTATAATGGTATCATTTATAAATACATGAATCCGTTCTGTCGGGGCCCACGCCGTCGCCACATACGAACTCACTTCCATCAAAAGAAATGGTACAATACGGGCTCCATTCTTGGGTATACTTACTTCGAGATCAGCATCAAATCACAACGATACTCTCCAATCCGTGTGTCAACACGGAGGGGTTTGAAGAGTAAGAGTGGCCAGACCGATGTACCCGGACGAAAGGTGGCACTCTCGTCTAGGCGCGGGCGTGGCCGCGTTCCCGTCATCAAAATTGTCATCGCTTGTTGGACATCGGTGCTTAGCGAACTGCGAAAGTTTACTCAGCTGTGGACATCTGGGTTCGCGAAATGCAAACTCTTCACGTGTGAAGTTGTCTCGCTTCTGGACTTCTGACCTGGGGTCTACGCTGGCATAATCATGAACAAAGGCAAGAGTTTGCTCAAGGTGTTCTTTCACAACCTTGTGCGGGAGTGCAGGGCATGCGCCGCCTGCAGGGCTCAGAGACATTAAGAAATATCACGGTACACATTAGATAGTTGCATACTAGTGTAAAATAACAGTATGTAATACTATTGTTACATACTAGTGTATAGTCTGAGTCTATACTCCCCTTAGAACCTTAATAACAATAATATGTTTAATGCCCTCTTGGGCTTATTATATAATATATAACAAAACTTATAAAAAAAAAAAAAAAAAAAAACACCTTCCCAAGGGGGATATAGTAGTAATACACTAACCGCATAGCCTGCAAGCCATGGAACCGGTCCAACGCAGCTGCTCCCGGCTGGTGGACGCAAAGCACGGCGGCAGGAAAGCTCATGCCTCAAAGGCACCGAGCCACGGAAGGGCAGAAGGTTTTTTTTAGGGTTCTAGGGTTTATAGGGTTATAGGGTTAGAGGGTCATAGGGTTATAGGGTTATAGGGTTATAGGGTTTAGGGTTTCGGGTTGAGGGTTTAGGGTTTAGTATTTAGGGCTCAAGAGGAGAGAGGGGGCAGAAGGGTTCTGAATGCTCAAGAGAAGAGAGCTACTGTGGATGGAGGAAATCTTGCACCACTTTTGCAAGGCCGGCCTGTGGCAAGGAATTTTGTTCAGTCTCCAGACGTAGGCGCAGCCACTAGCAACAAGGTCACAGGCGGTGCAAGATTTCCTCCATCCACCGTAGGATGGCCCCCAAAACCTTCTGAAAAATATTCCTAACACATGATCCTCTTAAACCCAATCGGGGAAGACATAAATATACCCGGGGCCTACCTAGGAAGAGAGTTGGAAAGGGGTGAGGGAAAGGGGAGGGCAGAGGGCCAGAGGGAAAGAGAGATGAAATGGTTTATGGGCGTTGTGGAATCGCACATTTCTGACAGGGACGCAGCCCGGGCCATGGTACCATGAGCTTTGCATCAAGAGACGGTTTAGGGTTTGAGGGTTTAGGGTTGAGGGTTCATGTGTCGAGGTGACACTGAGGCTTGTTAAGACTAGATGATCTGCACACCGTCCCAGACCTGAGAACACCGAGCTCTTTGTTGCCCCAACCTACCAGGATGGGCTATTATACCCTATAATCCCATAAAAAAGCCCTTTATAGGGTTCATGAAAGGGATTTTAAGGCCTAGAAGAGCCCATCCTGGTCAAGCAGACGGGATGCCCTGGCAATAGCCCACGTGAGGATTCGCCCTGCTATAGGCCAGCAGCACCTCCCGGATTGTGTCCTTCTTGGCTTGGACGTCCTTTTGGGATGCCGGATGTGGGTTCTACATGGTACTACAGTTCTACGTACAGTTGTACTTGGTTAATAAGTACTGTGTGTGCTAAGTACTCCCTTCCCACTGTCTTGAAGACCCCTCCATAATGCAAGAGGGCCTTCAAACACTCATTCCCAGCCGTAAGACCTGAGCCTGCAGCCCCCAGCGCTTTTTTCAAGTGGGGCTCAATAACTAGACCCAAGAGTAACCTAGGAATAAACAGGGCTCCCTTCTTGGTTTAAAGGGGTTTGTAAGGGAGCCCAAAGCGTCAAAAAAAGGCCTGCTCTGGGTCCTAGACAACGAGTTCAGTTTTTCTTGGGGTACAGGGTTTAGGATTCAAGGCGTAAAGCTTCGGGGCGAGAGCCTGAAAACTAAGAACCGAACACGAGAGAACATGTCGTGTGGCGCGCCCCCTCCTCGATGTTCGGAAAAGTTCTTGGCAAGTCAGAGTCGATCTGATCCGCCACTTGCTTCTCATGCGCCGACAGCTGTTGTGGCTTCGCTTCCTTCAGAGCCTCCGCTGGCAAGGCTGAGGCACTCTCGGCCGGCACGATCTCGGCTTCCGCTTCCGCGCTCTGGGCAGGCTCGGCGGGCGCGCTGTTAGCCGGAATGCTCTCAGGCTGCACCGATGCTGGCTCGTCTGCGCTTGGCCCCTGAATGGGAGCTGCCACTGAATCCTTCGGCGCCGCCGCCTTGGTGACAAACTCTTGTCCTCTGCAAACGAAGCCTCTCTGATCCTCTCTGAGAGCCCGAACCCCTCGAGAGGTACTTGTGGAACATCAGACCCCAGGACACACCCGAACCAAGGGAGCCGCAGTGGGACTGCGGCGACCATCCGACCCAAGAGAAATGAAGATCCAAGCTCCAGAACCTTCCTGTTTGGTGAAGAAAATTTAAAATAATAATAAAAGAAGAAGAATAATAACAATAATAAAACCTGCATGCTGCCAGCGCTCTGCCTGGAAGGTAGGGCCACCTGCCGCCGACTTTGGGACTATGGCTTTGGCCGGTGCCTTGGACGCAGCTGGCGGACCTCGATCTCTCGCTTTCTCAGATCAGAAGGATGTGCACAGACGAATCGTGTAGGATACCGTGGCCAGCAATCGGAGACTACAGAAGTGATAGGGGGACATGGTCTAAATACGACTTGCGCCTGAAACTTCACACAGAAACATCAGTAAGTATATGTATCATGTGTGTCTGTCCCTCACTGTCATGAATGTGAAGCAACAACCCCGAGCGACACTTGGACACAGGTTCCGGCCTTGCTTGGGCTGCTGTTTGGGCGCCCCTTGGGGGGCTTTGCCCTCCTTGGTGGCAGGTGGCTGGGTGGCTGTCGCCTTGGAGCTTGGCGTCGCGCTCTTAGGGTCGGCTGGCTTAGGGGCAGGCTGTGCTTGGGCAGGCGGGGCTTGGGGCGGGGCTTGGGGCGGTGCTTGGGGCGGTGCTTGGGGCGGTGCTTGGGGCGGTTTGGTTGGGGACTTGGCTGGGGGTGCAGGTGCTTGTGCTGGCTTGGCCTTGCCCGAAGCCGAGGCTGCTTTCTTCGCTTCCGGGTACGCGCCCTTGGCACCCGGAATGCCCGGATCGGCCTTTTTGGGGACTTGCTGACCTTGCTGTGCTTGCTGAGCTTGGGCTGGCTTGGGAGGACCAGGCGGCGACGGTGCCGACTTTGCAGCGAGCTTCGGACCAGGTTGCGATGGTTGTGCGTCCTTGGCTTTGGCTGGGCTTGGCGGGGCCACGCCCGCTTTGGGCGCTGGCTTAGCGTTTGCTGGGTCTGCTGGCGCTGGCTTGGGGTTGGCCTTTGGCGGCTGCTTTCCTGGGACCATCCCTGGCTTTGGGGCTGGCTTCGCATTTGCTGGCGGCGCACCTGCTGGCATTGCCGGCTTCGGTTTGGGCGCAGGTTTCGGCGTCGGAATTGCAGTGGCCGTCGGTGGGGCTGCGGGAGCTGCGGGAGCTGCGGGAGCTCCGGGAGTTGCTGAGCTTGGGCTGACTGGCGCCGTCGCCTGGGGCTTTGGCGCCGGCGGTGCTACCGACTTGGCCTTGGGTGGGCCTGCCGGCTTGGGCTTGGCATTCTTGGCAACAGCCTGCTTTGGGGCCGGCTGCATGCTGCCACAGCTACCACAGCTACCACGAACTGCGCCCCGGCATGTCTCTCAATCTGATTGGAGGTGCCTCCCATGGCGCAGGACCCATGTGCGGTTCGTCAGGCACAGGCTGTCCCAGGCTACTATTAAGATGTCTGAGGGCCCACGCATCTGTATTAATGAAGGCCTCCTCGGCATTGGCTTGCTCGAAAACCGTCATTGTCTGTATGCATCGCAACTACGTCCGGATGTGCCTGGCCTGTCGGGGTTGTGATGCATGCTTGGTGGGAGTACTAGGAGAGGTCGTGGCAAGCCAACACATGGATTGGATTTAACTGCGGATGGTTCGGCCTGAGTCCAGGAAAGTGAAGTGGTGCAACCACGGCTTCGGCTAACATGTTGGACCATGCAATTACCGCTGTGGGATGCCTTGACTGGCATGTCCTACTAGCTATGTGCACATGGTTCTCTAACAAGTCGTTACGATGAATCACCTGGTCTGTGTGTGGATGCTTCTTGCGCAAGCAACGCCGTGCAGGTGCAGAGCAGCGGTTCAAGCGATGAGACCTCACGAAGCCTGGGGCACGCACCCATATGCATATGGAGGGTGAGGCATGCTGCTCCAACTTTTCGAAGCGTTAGAGTGAAGCTTAGATAAATGCTCGTGATGGACAGTCTCAATGATATAGCTGATTAGGGCTTGTGGGTTGTGAGAGTTAGCTGTGTTGTCATCTTCTCACTCTTTGCGGGCGACAACTTGCGACAGAGCTCTAGTGTGTGTACTTAGATATGTGTCTTCGATGAATGCATTCACCATCTAGGCACCTGTAGATGTAAAGCTATAGCAATAATCCTCATTGTTGCAAGTCGTTATAAACGAATAACTCTGCCTGTTCCTGCGTCTGCGAGCCGCAAGCATTTGACACAAAAGCAACTGTGAAGACATTACCAAAAGCTCGGAGTTGCAAGTTGCAAAGAAGCCAAATGTTGCAAAAGAAAGAGCTGGTCTTCGGGCTAACCTGGGCACCTCCTCTGCATTTTCTTTGGCGCGGATCGTTTGGAGCGCAGCGAGATCATGGGCTCTGCCCATGCTGCCACGCTCAATTGGATGCAGCAGTGGAAAGAAACCTGGCCTTTCATGCAGCTCAGAAGCCAAACGCCTGAACACACACCCCCCCCAATCCTGCCACATGTGCTCTGCCAGTAGCTGTGCGCTGTGTGCACTGTGCGCTCTTTGCAGGAAAGCTCTGGGACCAGCCTCCTTGGGAGGAATACAATTCCTCTCCACGTCTGCATCTTCAAAACCAGACCACCTGCTACCCTAAGGTAGACTGGCCGCATCTTGTGACAGCCGACGTGCAACAGGTAGAGTAAACTGCAGGCATATAACAAAATCACTGGGAGAGGTGTTGTCCGCAGCAGCCTCAACTGTCAGGGTAAAGCGCATGCTTGTCTGGCCTACATCCTGAAAAGCATGCAGCCTTATGTGCTCGGAGGTGCGAACCCTTCTCCCAGGTCTCTTGCAGGGACCAGCCTTTGTGCCTGGCTTCACCCTAAACCCTAAGCCCTAAACCCTGCCTACCAAACCCATGGGCTGGCAAAGCAAGAGCGCAAACATGAAAATCTTGGTCTCTTTCGTGGGCATGGTGCCATCGATGCCAGGCAACACCGACAACCATAAGGGTCTAGGGTTTCACCTTTAGGGTTTCGGGTTACCTAAATAATCTGAATTGTGGTGGGTCTGAGGGTTGAGCTCTGTCTCGCCTGCCTTTGTGCAGGCATGACAAGCTTGACGAGCCCTGGCACCACACCCAGTCAGTGTAAAGACTGTGAAGAACCCGTGTGGGCTGAACCAGGCATGTTGAAAACATGTTGATGATGGCCAGTTTCTTGCTTCATCACATGAATCATGCCTACACGGTTTGCATGTTAGCATGTTAAGCAGCCCAAGGCTAGGACGCCTAAAGCGTCGCGTGATTCGCAAAGGGACCGCACTAATGGCAGCACCCTGGCGAAAGTCTCGGGAGACACGGCAGGGCGGCACTGCAACTTTCGAGGCAAATTCTTTGCCTCGAGGCTGCAGCTCCTCCCTGATAGGTTTGCATGGAAACTTGCCCTGCCCAACCGAATTAAGTGCCGGAAGTAAGGCGGGAATAACACATCGCAGTCGCGAGGCAGCTACTAGTGCGAAAGCCCTGGACTTATGCATCTCACGATATCAACAAGAACAACACACCAGCGTAAGCATGTGTCGAGGATGTCCAAGAACCGCCCAGCGGATAGTTAGGGAAGGGGTGGAAGGGGCCCCCGCCCGCTAAAATCTTTGTTCAACCCTATACGCGTTTCTGCCTTTCTGCATTCCTCAACAAGAAGATGCCTGGGTCATCCAGAACAATCTCTCCCTGCTAGCAAAAGAAACAAGCTTCGGGAAAAGATGGTTGTGGATGGGAAAGCCGCATCTTTTCCAGAGTAACAAGCTGGTCATGGGTCGGCTGTGAAAACCATCGTTTACTACGGAAAAGATGGTTTGCCTCTTGAAAGCAGAACACAAAAACACACATCAGTTTCTAGATGCCTGCAATGGTCTGCATAGGATTGTTGTTTTTTGGTTCCTTGGTCTTGAAATGGGGGCAGGGGGGGGGGGGGGGTTGGGGGTTCTATATACGTGTACATGTACATATATATATATATAACATATATTTATGTACATATTGTTCTTGTGGAGAAGGAAATGTACCGTGTCCACAAAACATGTGGTTTCAACACATGGGTCATTACTAAAATACAACTCACATTCTCTGAAGTTTATATACAAGGCATTGGAAAACTCATCTGGAGGGATACCTTACATAACTTCAATGATATAACTTTGGTTTTTGCTTGTAGTTTGACATCACCCCTGTCAAGAGCACATGGTGCTCGCTGCCCGCTTGCGAGTCCATTCTTCGCTGCGCAGCGGAAAAACTCAGGTCCCAGCAATAGGCTTTTTGTTGCAGAGCCATAAACTATATTCCAGGAACCTCTCATGTTCCAATGTCTCCAACATAAGCACCGCTCAATACCCAATTGCACGTAGTGTTGCCGCGCTGTGGGGGTCCCAAGCCAAGCCAAGCTGCCGCGCTTTCAAATGCGGACGACACGTGAGTGGAGTCAGACCTGCAGGGGCTAAGGTTGTCATCGTGTGGGGAGGCTTTCAAACCCATCTGCGCAGAACCCTACCGGTCGTTTCGCCACACGTTCCCCTTGCCTCAACAGCAACCCTCCAAGGAGTTGAAGTTTAGCTGAAAGGCTTGCACATCTCCCTGTCGCAAAGACGGTCGTGCGGCTTTCCAAGCCACTCTCTTGTGTACGCCACGGTGGTGGAAGCATTGGCATGGGTGTTGATATGTGCGTGAGGAATTACCAGCAACATTTCAACATGGTCATGGACAGGCAAGCACTGGCAAGTAATTACAAGGTGTGTCTATATATGTATAGATATGCGCGCACACCTACAGAAACATTCGCATACAGTTGCTCGCACCCTCCCCTCGCCCAGCCCCCCTTCTCCCCACCAAACCCATGGTTTAGGGTTTAGGGTTTAGGGTTTAGGGTATGCTTGTGGCTCTGAAGTGAGGGTATTGGGCCTTGTTCGTACGTTGAATGTGTCCAAAAACATTAACCGGCCCAATTTGGGATGTTCCCCCCCTACACTCACAGTCCTTAACAGGGATCATAGTACCCCCTATTATAAATCCCTATGAAGGACTGGTAGTATCAGGGGAACATCCCAAGGCACAATTTGCTGCGCTGCACCTTGCTCGAGATTCAATTCCAACCGGGATCGGGTTTGTAAACCGACTTGCTACTTGTCGGAGCCTTTCGTCGTGTCGCTGAAGTGGCTTAGATTCAAAAATGGCCTCTCGGAAAGTTCTGAGCTTTCTGTTTCTGATTCTACCTCTTTGTGTAAAAAGGGGAACGTCGTGTCGCTGAAGTGGCTTCCGTTTCAATTCTAATCAGAAGAACTGATGAAGAACATGCGCAGGCTCCATCCAAAGAGCCATTTATAGGTCAGCCTTTCTGTGTGATGTCATTTGAAACGCAATCAGGGCATTTTTTGGCACCTGCATAGCTATATGAACCATAAGTGGTTTAGGGCTGCTTTGCTTTCAAACCTCGCATCAAATAGCCGCAGCGACCATCAAACGCTAGAAAAAGCCACCGGTTCACAGTGTGCCCCCCAAAATACAAAAAACCGAAGAGTATTTGGACCGAAGGCTGTTTGTTTTGGGTTTGCCTTCATGTTTGCACTGTGTGTTGTTGCTTTCTGAGGTGTGATGCAACTTGCGGTATACGGTCCTTCGAAAAAATACAGAACAAGTACTGTTCATGTTTGGCTGTGAGCTCCAAACAGCACGGCAACGTCATGCGACATGCAATGCGCAACGAATTGTACAGTAGAAAATGCTCAAACCCATATGGAAAGAGAAGATTCGGACCAGGGCGTGCGTCTTTGGGGGGGGGGGGGAAGCGGGTATGCTCCAAACACATAATCCTAAACCCTAAACCCCTCTAAACCCCTATAATCCCCTAATCCCCTAAACCCCTAAACCCCTAAACCGTGGTCACAACCAGGCATCCCTTGGCTTGCTGATTTCCGGCAGGACAGAGCGAAGAGAATGATGAAGAAGACGAAGATGATGACGATGATCGATATCCGCAAATTCTCATGATACTCATGGCAGGAGCATGAGAACTCCTAGGCGAACTTCCTCCAAGTACTCTAAGTTCCTAAGGGTAGTGATATAGGCCCTTACTATCGTCCCTAACCCCCTTCAATGGGTTCTGCAACTACCCTAAGAAGTAGACCCACCATGAGCCCAAAAATGCCCCCCCGAGCCTATTGGGCTCGTGGACTGCTCCGTGCAGATTGCGGGGAAGGCTCCCGGCTCTCCTGTGCAGTTCATGCAAAAGGTTTAGGGTTCAGGGGTTAGGGTTTAGGGTTCCGATGGGTTCTCCTGCTTTGTGCCGAATTCATGGAA